CCCCAAAACCCCAAAACCCCAAAACCCCATTATATTATTTTGCAAAAGAGATAAATCCAATAAATATATTTAAATATTATATTAAAATATCCTTACAACTCTCTTAATTATTTTATATAATTCGAGATTATAAATCATTATACTAATTTAATGGGAAGAAAGGATCTCAAGTCTAATATTTTAAAAACTTCAGCTATTCTAGCACTGACAGCAGTGGCTTCTACTGCTTAAGCCTAAAAATTCAATCCTTATGGAACAATTAAGAAAAACTTAATGGGGGATAAACTGCATCATCATAATAAGGAATACTTGTCTGCTTATGAGTCATTAATGGGTCAAAGCAAAAGTCCTGGAGCTGTTTAAGTGTGTAAATAATCTGAAAACAAAATAGAGACACTACCTTACTGGAATCCTTCAGATTAATTTCCATGCATGTATTCTGGGACATTCTAGACTTCGCTAACTCCCGAATAAGATCACAATCTGTTCTATTGGCTAATAAAAAATACTAAAACAACTGAGTCCCCGAATCTCGTAATCTGGCTGGATGGTGGCCCAGGTTCGACCTCAATGGAAGGACTATTTATTGGAAATGGTCCCTTGAGAGTGAAAAGGACTGGAGCTGGCTTAGATGATTTTATAGTTGGATTGAACCCAGAAGGCTCTTGGGCTGACTAAGCTGATGTGCTTTATCTTGATTAACCAGTTGATGCTGGATTCTCATATGGAAACAGCATTATTGATAGAATGGAAGATGGTGCATAGGAATTCATTAAATTTATGCAGGCTTTCGCTGCAGTTTACCCAGAATACAATCAAGCTAATTAAGGAAGGAAAATATATCTGAGTGGATGGTCTTATGCTGGCAAATATATCCCAGTTTATGTTCATCATCTAAAGTAGAACAATGAAAGAGAAGGTTAAATAAAATTTGAAATTGGTGGAGTAATGATTGGTGATCCTCTAGCTTCTCCAATTATAATGAGAACTTAATCCTACACAGTCGCCCAGGCTCTGAATGTCATTGATGAAAGCAATTTCGCTCAAGTTGAGTCACTTAGAAGAAAATGCGAATAAATGCTGACATAAGATTGGGCTTAGGCCTCTGATACTTGCGATGGAACTTTGAATTATATTACTGATGTCTCAGGTGGTTTGATTACTTTTGATGCTCGTAAGTTTGACTATGACTGGAATCCAATCTCAGATGTGGTTGATGATTTCTTTGGTAAATCAATTTAAAAAGAAGCTATTTACAAGGCTATCCACATTGATAAGAGCACTCGTGTTCCTATATATCAGCATATGAGTGATAAAATCTATCAAGCATTCAAGTTTGAGAAAATGCTAGACTATAGCTACTGGTACAATAAGCTTATTGAGAATAACATAAAGACTCTTATTTATGCTGGAGAGTGGGATCAAAGAAGTGGTCCGGTAACTGTTGACTCTTTTCTTCAAGGAGTTCCAAATCTTAACAAGCATGATTTTTGGACTCAAGCTAGAAAAGTCTATTATGTAAAGAAGACCGATGGAACTTATGTGGTAGGTGGATATTACAGAGAAGATAAGGAACAATAATTTACTTTCCTAACTCTACCAAAGGCAGGCCATTTCGCTGCTGGGGATCAAATTCTAGTGACAAATTAGTTCCTTACTGACTATCAAGTAAGTGATAGTCTAATCTGCCATAAGGATAAGCAGTTGGATTGCTAAAACGAAGCAATGATGTGCTAACATATGAATTTTTGCAATAATCATGGAACTTGCCAATCAAACGGATAATGTACTTGTTTATAAGGATTTAAAAGTGCTGACTGCTCAGAATAAGCTGTATAACTAGTACCATCATTCCATTAAAAGTTTGAAACCAATGGAACATAGTGGATTTATTTCTAATTCTCTCAAGGACTATCCTATAATCACAAATATGAATTCACTTTATCGTCAAAACAACCGATAGATTTATACATATCAACAGGATCTGATAGTGATCCCAATGAGTTCTCTCATGATTTAGCTTTTAAAGGCTAGAATTATATGACAATTTAATCAGATCATTTCCCGAGCCTTTCCACCTTTGTGGCAGCAGTTAAGATTAATGGTATTGATTTCTACAATAATGCATTCCATTTGAATAATTTGATTGCTAAATTTGATGTCAAGAGCTTGTGATCGCTATTGGAGAAAAGATTATTAATTGACTTCATAAACATCAATAATTATTTGCTAGATTAAATATTTTGATTAACTATCATATTTCATTTAATTTGAATTTCGGGGTTTTGGGGTTTTGGGGTTTTGGGG